AGCAGTCACAGAAACATAGAATAGTAGAGCTGGAAGGGGCCAAGAAGGTCACCAATCTACACTATCCCAGTTGTGTAATGGAGGCAGAGCCTGCAGAGATGCTTTCTATGCAGGGGCGATGATGTAATCTCTCATGCCAGTCAGAGTTCTGTGCTCCCTCTGAGTTTAGCTGCACACTAGCTGGGGGAATGGATTTTCCCAGTAATGGTTTATTATTCTATGCTGTAATATAAAGTACCGAGCAGGCTTTTAAGATCCATCCCCTTTTCAAACCTGCTCCAGATAGAGTTGAAGCTCCTAGAACTTCGTGGATATGGATGACTAGAACTGCCTCAGTTCTGGACTATCCTGGTAGGTGTGGCTGGAGGGGCTGCCATGAGGAGTGCCAAAATGTACCACTGTCTGTACGATGCTAGAGGTAACGCCTGTAAAAATGACTGGGGAAACCATCTCCCTGAAGGAAGTAAACTGAAACTCCGCACTTTCTCTGTGACCAGAACGAATGCCAAGTCAAGATGGAAAATCAGCTCTCTCCTAATAATGCATTCCCAAGCTTTCCTACTGAAAGGATTCCTAATGGTAGATTATCTTCCATTCTTAAAAGTTGTGAATATGTAAAGCATACAAAAGTTACGCAAAGATTCCATTCCTTTTCCTGATGTGCCATCTGCTTAGCACTGTGACTTCAGATAGTGCAACTGAATTCTAGAAGCCTATTTGTTTAGTTCCTGACCAAATGCAGAATGGAAAAGACCTCTGACTGCAATGAACAGACTTCTCTCGATTGTCCAGGCATGAAGAATTTAAAATCCAGGACTGATTATGGCTCAACTTTTCCAGCCATGATTTCTGAAAATCTTGGTGCCCAAGAACATCAAATAAAATGTAAACCTTGGTTCTTTACCTATTTATAACCTTTCTGTTGTGGGTTGTTGAGAAAATATTCACCAGGTTCAAAGTGAAATTCAAACAGTAATTCAATCAAGAACAATATACTTGAGGTTACATGCAAATATTATTTCATATATCAGTTTTCATATGAGGAAAAAAAGGATTAAAAACCTCTAGTAGCAGTTTGCCAAATGCCTGGTAGACACAGGTGAGAATAAATAGGCTTGTATTCCTTCTTTTGCCTTAGTTTAAGAACAGACATGTTTCATTGTTGATAATAGTAGCAGAAAAAAATAGGATATGATTCTGAATTGTGATTTTCTTTATATATATTAAAACATCCAGTTATGGAACAAGTTCCCACTGAGAGCCACCTGGTGCCAACCTTACTATCTTTGAGGCAGCAGGTAAAGACCACCCTCTACAGCAGGGCATTCAAGTAACCTCTGGATCCTGCTACCTGTCAACAGGTCTGAATGTTTTTTCTTATTGTTGATCTGTTTACTGTATGGCTTTAAATTTTGTATTGTAAACTTTTAATGAAGTTTTAATATGTTTTTATGCAATGTATCCTTTTTAAATGTGCTTGGTGAATTGCTTTGGCTGTTAGGCAGCATAGAAATAAATAAATAAACAAATAAGTACAAAACAACTGAAAAAAATGCAATCACCAAATAAACAACAGCAGAGTAAAACTCAAAGCATTGATGATGCCCGATTGACTATATTGCCTATTATTGGAACTAGTCTGACAGAATGTATGGCATGAAGGCAGATTCTAGAATGCTTAACTGGAAAGCTTCTAAATATATCCTAACCAAATGTTATCAGAATATGACCATTTCTTTTCAATGGGCTTTCATATACACAAAATCGAAGACTATTAAGACACCAGATGGCACACAAAGATTACAGGAACAACTATGATTAAAGGGTCAGTGAGAGGTCCCTGATCTCTGTATCTTGCATTTTAGAGCAAGCCACAGTTGTGTAACAATTTAACTGGAAGCTTTTTAAAATAAGGTGCATTTGTTTCTCTTGATCTGTGCCAGAGTAGTCCTGGCAACACCTAGTTTACATGGGTGCCATGGTTTCTACTATGTTTGTATGGCTAAAGACATATCAATGGCTAGGAGGCAGAAATGCACACAATTTACCAATGTTCAAAATTGTTGGGGTGAAAGTATGAATATGTTGTGTCTATTGTTCTGTTCTAAGGATATACATATATTTTGATCTAATATGCAGAGCTATCTTTCTCTTTTCATGGAGAGGTACCATCTGCATATTTCTGAAGTGGTTTCAACCCCTGAAATGGTTCAAAAAGGTTCTAGCTTACTCCTTGATCCATTACTGTGACTTCTTTTAGAAGCTCAGGGCCTTCCAGGGCCTGAAGGGCTGACATCTATGACCCTAACTGGAGGTAGATAGCCTAATTGCAGCAAACCTGGTAACTTCCCAATGATGTGCTGAAGATGGAGCTGCCTTTGAAGACAACCTGGAAAGTTCAGCTATTCCAAAAAATGGCTGAATCCTAACTGGGAGCAGGTGCTATTTGTCCTTTCTTGCCTGCACTGACTTAATTTGGAGTTATGCACTGGAGTTATGTTCACATGACTCCAGTCCTCTGTCAGCTTCACTGGCTTCCCATTGAAGTCCGGGCCCAATTCAAGGTGTTGGTGATGACCTATAAAGCCCTAAACGGCTTGGGTCCTGGCTACCTGAAGGAGCGCTTGCATCCATATACGCCCGCCCACCCCCTGAGATCTGCGGGAGAGGCCCTTCTCCCTCCGTGAAGGAAATTAGGAGGGTAGGTACTCAGAGGAGGGCTTTCTCTGTGGTAGCGCCCAATCTATGGAATGCGCTCCCCAGAGAGGTACGCCTGGCGCCGTCGTTATTTGTTTTTCGGCGCCAGGCGAAGACCTTTTTATTCAAACATCATGTTAATTGCTAATATTATTTCCTTATTTTATTCTTTGGCCAGGGCAACTTATTTTATATTGTAATTCGTTTTATATTTTTAATGTATTACATTTTAATGTTTTGTGAGCCGCCCTGAGGCTTCGGTGAATGGGGCAGCATAGAAATTTTCTAAATAAATAAATAAATAAATAAATAAATTTCTGGGCCTGAACACTGATTTTGACTTATATGGTTTTGGGGCCTCAGAATGTGATGGAACAGCTCTACTGTATCAAGCATATAATATGTACTTGCCCACACGTAAAATTCATCAACAGAAAACCTTCAGGTACCTCCCCATTTTGAGGCTCAAAGGGTGGTAGCAGGAGAGATGGCTTTTTTGCAGGTTGCCCCCACTCTGGAATGCTCTCCTCGGGGGAAGCTCACAGGATAAGCCTTTCCTGTTCTCCAAGGCTTTCAAGATCTTTTAAAGACTTTTAAAATATATTATACTGTTTAGTACTTTCTATTATTTTACTCCTTGCCATTTGGTTTTATCTCTTGTGTTCTGCAGTATTAGTTTTTTATTAGTTATTATTTTATATTAGTTTATCCAGTACATCAAATATTAGTTTCATATTGATAGGGTTTTTCTGTATTGTAAAATGGAAAGAAAAAATTACGAAGAGTTTAATAAATGCCATCAATTAGTAAATATTGTGCATGGACTATACTACTGGATTGTGGCAATGGATTGTGACAATTTGACACAACAAATTGTAAGCCTGGATGCTGAAGACTGTTTGTACTTTTATGCAGTTAGACTGACAAAGTGCAAAAGGGGAAAGTGAGGCATGTCTGCCTGGTAGATTTTTCTAGTGTTTGCAAAAATTTAGATTGTTATAAGAAGTTTCCTTATGCTTATTCAGCATTCAGAACCCAGTTGCCTGTTAAAATTCAGGTCCAAAAATAAAAAAGGAGAGAGAATCCTTGATTCAAATATTTGCTGCCACAGCGCATTGCATTCTGTCAGCTAATACAATAAACCAGTTAACTACCACCCAGTTAAAATAACAAGCTTTCTGCTTCAAAGGAGACCCTAAATTTAAATCTTCCTAAGTACACCCAAATTTCTTAACAGAAAGCTTTAAAAACATCTGTGGCGTGATATTCAAGCTAGGTATTCTCCATTATTCATCCACACCCTAACACTTTGCATAAGCTACACCTTGTGTGTAATATCTACTGGAAACTATGCAATGCTCCGTAGTCGCCATTCATTTCTTAATCCTTTACAGCCGGATGCTGCATAGCAGCAGGACCTACTAGAGTGTAGCTATCATCTTGGTCCAAGGAAAGGACCAGTGCTTGAGTGTAGGTGTCTTTCTGGATTGAGGTCAAATGGTCGTTGTATGATAGGCGGGAAATAACTGGAGATGCAGCCGCCGTACATGAATTTGATTCGGAGAGGGAACAGAATAATTGTTGCTAAATCTCCCGAGTTGCTTGCTAGCCTTATGTTGTGTTAGAATACAGGGAAGATCCACTGAAACAGCTTGAAGCCAAACTTATGAGGTTCCCCCGAACTGTAATGCAATGCCAAGTGTGAAGTTGTCACTAGCCATTAGCAGTACCCGTGCCTCGTACAAACAGCCCATATCTGTAAATCATCACTATGAATCCATGCTTTCCACCTTCTTGCAATTATGGAATCTCATAAAAGCTTCCAAACGATGTTATAGCAGGCAATGCAACAAATGGCAGCATCTTGAGGTCAAAGTCACTTTGCCAGTAGAGGGTGTGCTTAGTCTGGCCACTTCTGTTCTGAAGGGAAAAGCAGCCACAGTGCCAAGGTCATGATCCATAACAAACTAAGGGCTCACAACGGTTGCTTGCTAAAACATGTCTCATTTATCCGAAATCCCCTTCTTGAAGGCTTCATTTGAAGCTGGGTACTGACAGATCAGGCAGTAAAACATCCAGTGCAAATCAGGAGCAAGTACAGTTGCTCAACTTTTCAACTAAAGCTATCAGATGAAGCAAACCTATTAAAAAGTACTTTCAACATTACATGTGCTTTGGCTGTGGCGTCAGTATTCCCAACAATACCAGAACCGATCGTAGTAAACTGGTACAGCCTCTTCGTCCACTGAAAGACACTTAACTTATATATAATTGACTATTTGATATTAGAAATCATTACTCACCCTGACTTCATATTCATTATCTGAGTAATCCACAGACTGACAGATATAGCTGTATCCTCGAGCCCTTGATGCCATAAATAGCTGAAAACATTAAGTTCATATATTAATCTTTCTGTTAATTATTATTCCTGAAAACAATCATCAGTTTAAATATATGCAAGGCAGTATTTGTACAAACACTGCCATAGATAGAGAAGGCGGTGGTTACTACTTCCTAATAAAGCTGCAGTTTAGACTGCCTCTCCCCTCTCATGTTCTTTCTTATTCCAGAGTCTTTTATGAAGCGTGTTCTGTGACATCATGGGCCATAACTTTACTCTCTCTCAAACACACACACACACACACACACACACACACACACACACACACAGAGAGAGAGAGAGAGAGAGAGAGAGAGAGAGAGAGAGAGAGAGAGATTAGAGCCTCCAGCAGCCTGCTCTTTCTCCACATGCCCAACACCCTGATCACTCACTATACTGAGTCAGTTCTGGGCAAGGACAGTCTGCTCAAAGCTATGCAGTGAGGTACAGTCTTGTCTAGAAGTGAATGGTCTGCCAAAGTGCATTGTACCCATCACGGCAGCAACATACTGGACACTGCAGGAGCCCTAAAACAAGCCTCTGAATGCCATCCTCACCACAGGGGTGCGGGCTGTGACCTTTATGTGGAACTCAAACGGGCTAGTTCTGTAGAGCTATCATTTCATACCATTATTCATGCAAACACTGAACCACACTCACCTGCAAATAACACTTCAAGGAGCAATTCTGAAGATACCTATCTATCACCCATTCTTGTTTCACATTTTGGTTTGTATAAACAAACATTTCACAACTGGTTTAATGGGCTGCATATAATTTAGACCATTCCCATACAGAATAGAATATATTCTCAAGTTGGTTAAGAAAACAAACAATTGATTTTTTTCTACTGAAAGTAAACAAATTATTCATATTATATCATTTCTTGCTTTATCGGACAGCTAGGAACATAACTTAGAATTTAATTTATTAAACTATACTGACATATGAAAATGAAAAAGGAGTATTTTCTTATAAGCAAGAATTTGTAAGTTGGAGAGAAGAGATACTGAAAAGCATTGCTCATCTGAAGTTGGTGGTTTACTCAGCGTGACATCCGGTGGGTTGTGAGGACTGTGAATGAGAGCACATGCTTCATCCCTTGCCACTTTCTCTTTGAGTGAGCACTCACCAACAGGCCCAAATTCCATTTTCTTTTTGTTTTAGCTGCCTGTACGAACTCCATTTTATGATAACATACGTGCACATACTCATCAAACTATCTGCAATGTTTTAGCTCTTGTCAAATCAGACTGATACCAGCTGGGCTGTGGTGAGAACTGTCCACACACCCCTCCACTCCCGAAAATGGGAGAACATTCTTCCGTCACCCTGGGATGACCTAAGGAAGATCCTCTCTGAAGAAGCTGTTCAGCCCACTAGCAGTTGACTAAGGAGGATCACCTCGGATTGATCAAAGCCTAATGTTGATCTTGCGTGTCTGGTTTTGTCTTCTTTGCCATAAGTTTTGCTTTCTGGCTACTGACTGTCAGTATTACAGTTTGCTCTCCATTTGATGCAGAGACCTGTACTTGGGTATGTAAGAACGGGTTTAGTTAACTTCTTTTTTTGGTCTGAAGTATTGTTTCCACACGTTACCCTGGTTCCTGTTTGTCTTTCAATTCCCCTTTCCTTTTAACTTGTGTAAATAACCTTAACACCTACTCCACAAGTTGTGTGTGTTTCCTTTCAAGTAAATCTTAGTGCTAGATCCGGAGCCTTCTGCATGGTTAATTGTTACAGTTTTAAGTTTCAGGTCTAGTTTGAAAGAGAAGGCACTAGCTTAGTCTCCTATTTCCAAGCTTTAGGGCATCCTGTGTGGTCTGAGAGTCACCTTGCTCAGGTTGAGGTGGTGGTAGCTTATACTGGCAATTGTTTGTGCCTGCCTATGCTGCTGGAGTGAGGGAGACCCTGTTCCTCCCCTTCACTTGCCACTCCGGGATTGCCTGATGGAATGGGGAACTCTAGAACAACCTAGAATTTACATAAGCAAAACTTGAGTTCACCAACATTCTCCCAGTTCTCAGAGCTCATTCTGACTCAAGTCTGTATCCCAGTGCAAGTTTTTCCCCCTTTTTGCATCAAAATCCTTTCAGATTTCCATATTTATTTATTTAAAACATTTCTATGCCGCCCCCATCGCAACCAAGCCTCAGGGCGGCTCACAAAGAATACATAAAAACATACATAAATAATAATAATATAACAATTTAAAAATACCATATGTATTTTTCCCAAATGCATGGATTTAATCATGTGTCTTTCTGAAATAGAGTCATTTCAAAATGTACGCCTCTTAAATGTACTTTTTAAAAATATGTATGCATTTTTGAAATATATGCATTCTTCTTCCATGATTAAAACGTATTTGTGCAGAAATGTATAGCTTTTTGAAATATCCACATGCTATCAAACATTTTTTGTTGTTGTTTGTGATTCACATTGCAAGCTTGGAGCAGACCTCAACTACAGATTGCATCCAAGTCCATGTTAGGTCTGGAAATGGTGAACTGGATAAAAAGATCAAAAATAAACAGAAGACATTTCTCGTCTCCCCTAGTCTGAACCCATGGTTTACTGGTGAATTAAAATCCTGGCTTGTTTGTCTTGTACTAACCCAGAATTCTGGAAATTTTCACAATGAAAAATTATTCAAAAAAGAAAGTGATGAGTGGGCAGAAAGTAGCACATACTTCTTACTTACTCACATGCAACCCCAATAATTAGTGGGTTGCTTCAACCTAGGAATTGATGTTATGTGCAGACTAGGTCAATGGGTTGGATCTAGAAAAATCCAGTGATTTTTCTGATTCCCCTTCCCTCTCTTGTCCCCAGTGTCACCTCCCCTGCTGCCCCAGGATTAACCATACAGAAAAGCATGGGAAGTGGTGCCAGAGCACAGGTCTGGATCAGGCCCAGTGTTACCATGTCTAAAGATGATTTTTAGAAGTAATAACTTGAAGTGGGATGCACAGTTCTTCTAGACTGGGAGACTTGCAATTAAACTGTCCCGGTTGTCAGTTTTATGTAACTGTCAATTTTAATGACAATTACATATAATTATGCCATCCAGCTGTCTCCTCATGTAACAGTGATCACTGCCTCAGAGAATGCTGGCAGGTGAGCAGAACGAGGGGAATGCCAAAGGGGTCCCTCCTCACAGAGTGGCAGGGCTTTGGGAGTGCTGCAGCACTTCCTACCACACTTCTGATTCCCCAGATCACGGGGGCATCTCTCTCTGCATCTAAAATAATTAATCGCACAGCCTACGGACTTCCTCAGATACACCAGAACTCATTTAAATGATAGCAATAAGACCCATTGAGACAAACGGCTAGTGCAGACCATTTATAAATGGATAAACACCTCATCCCAAGTGTTCTGTGATCCGCATGTGTGCAGCAGAGTAACGTTTCTGTATCACGTAGTGCCATGCAAATGTGTTTGCCATGCCGGTCCGTGACGCGAGGCTAAACCCCGTATTTAAGCGATATTCAGCCAGAGCCATGTAAAAATAGCCATTGATTGCAACGGCTGAAAATTGCTCTCATTGCTTCTGTCAAATCATTGTTTCTGTCAATAAACTAATTGGAAAATAAATGTTCGAGGGACTTAATGAAACTGTGTGATTTTAAAAAGCAAACATATGCACCCAAAACAGAATTTGGTTTTAGCATTCCTAAATGAATGCTTTTCTTGCTTTGTGATTGAAAATAGCATCTTAAATAGTTTCATTTTCCAGTGTTTCTATCAGGAGTCAGGTGTTAGGTTTGCTTTTATAAGTCCTTTTTAATGCTCTGAGTTTTAGATTTAGATCTAGATTTGTCTGTGGGTTCAGCAGTTAGAAAACACAGGGCTTATCAAGTTCTTACCACACTTGATCTTAGCCAAAAGGCCAAGAAGTGAATGCAGGAGGACCCCTGTGTCTGTGGGGATAGGACCCAAGTTCCCCAGAGGATGTCTGAAACTGTGGATAATAGCAAACACTATATACTGTACCTATTAAATTTCTTTTTTCACAATTTCACAGACAGAAGATTCATTCTTACCATACATCCTAGCAACCTCAGCACATGATTCTTTTTCTTTCCCTACTAAAATGAGAATGTTCACTTAAAGGGAGCACTTTATGACTCCTCTTTGGCACTTTACATCTTCTCTTTGGGTCTGAGATCAACCATGATTAAGTGGAAATGTTGTAACTGAACCAGTGGATATGGGGGTCCTGCTGTACTTTGATTTCTCTCCGGTTTGCATAATTGTGCTGAGTCAGTTATGTCTGACAGGCTCCTGGCAGACATGCTTTCTTGTTTATTTTTGTAAGATGCAATCTGACATCACTCTGTGTCATGCAAATGGTATGCTAGCTAGACAATTCAATTCGACCAGATTACTGAGCAGTGCATAAACACAAAATAAACTAATAATTGTCTTCACTATCCTTTTGTTTCCTAAAATAGTTTTTTTTTTTCCCTGGGGCCAACAGTACAAACTGAGCATCCCATTTTCTTTAGTTCCTATGGGGCAGGCTTCAGTAGGACCTGTATTGTATGAAGCCAACTTCTACACAAAAAATTTCCAGAGGAAAATCACCAAATATCCAGTTTTAGCGACTTCTATTAACTCCATTAAGACCCAGCTCACAGCAAAATAAATCTATCTACATTCATGGAGGAAAGCGGGATCCGCTTTTGGCTCCCCACTGAAGGAAAGAGACAGAATGGCTACTTCCATCAATTCTTCTTTGCTCCTGCAGTTATCAGCCCCTCCTTCCATGCTGATCTAGGGATCACCCGAGAGGAAATCTCTAGGACAGCTTGTCCAGAGGAGATTTAATGGGGCTGCAGAAGGGGAGGGAGACTGGCAGAAATGGCCTCCCCTCTTCTGCCCTCATGGAATTCTGCTCCATACTCTTCTATATCCAACCTAACACTTTCAAAGAAAAAAGATACTTTGCTTCCTATAATACATAGAAAATGGTCCAAATCATTTGGCTGAAATTCTTGATCATAACTAGCAAATCACTTGGGCTGTAATCCTACATGCACTTACCTGGGAGTAAATTCACCTGAACTCAGCAGAAGTTACTTCTAAGTACACATGTACAAGATTGCATTATATATGTGCACATATAGAGAGAACAGAAAGGGAGGTACCTCTTCAAAAATATAGAAGTTAAGTAGAACCATTCCAAAATTGTAAAAAATCAACAGTGAACGAAACTGGAAAGGCTCCCTTGTCTTCATCCATTTAGGTCCGAGCCAAACAGTGAGGAGGTAAAGAGTGCCTATAGTCATTGTAGGAAAGGGAGACTGCATCAAGGGCCAGTCATCGACACGTTTATCTATAGAAAACAGACAAGGAATTACTGAAAACATGTTTTCTCATTACATTTGAAACACAATTTCAGTTAACTACGCGGGTCCTGGAACAATTTAGGGACACCATTTTCTATCCAGCCACCCAATTCTACTCCCCCTCTCCTTTGCCTTCCATCCCCTTTCCTGAGCCATCAGTTGGGTCAGCATGCCCAGGTCCTACTGGCTGCTGTGGGGAAAGGGAAGTCTTACTCCTGAAGACTTTTCTTCTAATGGTGCCTTGCGCATAACAGACAAGTTTCCCCTCAGATGTGTGGATGCCTTCCTCTTGCTGTGTGCATATTGGCCACAGCACTCGGAGAACCGATTCCATGATTAGTATGTAGGATACAATTTACTAGGGCAATTGCAGATGCAATACTTAAAGAGTAAACTGTTGCACAAATGCATAGATGTAGAAGGCGAAACGTGCTTTGTATCTCTTGAGCAGCCATTCTATTTTCCCATCAACTACCATGTAAACTACATTTCTGAACAGTCAGGCATGGTAACATAACACTTTCATTCATATCCCACATTCAGAACGGGTTCCCTTCTTGGAAAAAAAGAGATTCCCCCCCCCCCCCCAACACCATAAATAAGGTACAGGGTGCTTGGGATTTTATATATAATCTTTTAAACAAATTCCTCACATCTATAGCCTACACCATGGGTCCTCAAACTATGGCCTGTGGGCTGGATCCGGCCCTCCATGCCCATTTATACAGCCTGCCTTTTAATTATGTGAGCCTGGGGGCAGCAAGTCCTCCTCCCGCAGCCGCTGCTGCCTCGCCTCGCCGTGCCTGTGCCCACTGTGCCCACTGACTTGGAAAGGTCTGGTTGACCACATGTATATTTTATTCTTGCCCTTCGTAAGCTTCCAAAATCTAGCTGTGGGGAGAGGAACTGATTTGAGGAAGCAGGAAATGATTAGCATCTGTTGAGAGGCTATGGGGAATTGATTCGTAAAAAAGCCTTCTGTGGAACCCAGAGGTTTGTCATGAATGCTGCTAAATAGCCACTTTAGGACAGGGGTCTTGAGGCGATGGCAGATGGGCAGCTCCAAGAACACTTGGGCATGGATTATTTAGACAGGTTTCAATCTTTCTTCTGGCCTAGGTTTGGACAGAAGCCATAGCCTTGAATGCCTTCATGGGACACAGTGGGAGGTTGGCTTCAGTGATTCTGCTGGATCTCTCAGTAGCTTTTGATATCCATGGACTCATGGATTGGAATGGTAGCTCCATTCCTGTTTTCAGAACAGTTTCCAGAAAGCAGTCCTGGGGGGCTTCTGTTCAACCCCATGGCAGTTGTTCTATGGTGAATCATGGGTTGTATTCTGTCCTCTGTGCTCCACATGAAGCTACTAGCTAGGTCATCAGATTTGCTGAGGTATCTGCAATATCCTGGCCAGAGAAAGGGTAGCCTTTGCTAACCTCTGTGTATCACTGTGATGTATTTCATGTGGAGCTGCCAGTGAAAGCAATCTAGAAATTGTTTTCACAGTGTGGTTTCCTAGATGGGGACAGGAACAGTTGGTGAGAAGCATAAGAAAGAACTGCCCATCTGCATCTGGGCTCAGTTCAAGGTGCGAGTATTGGCTTACAAAATCCTAAATAACCCAGGACCGGGTAGCAGAAGGAATGCCTCTTTCTGTACTAGCCTGCTGTTGCTCATAGACCTGGCAAACAGAGCAAGCCCGTTTCCTTGATCCATCAATAAGGAATGTACACTGGGAGACAACGTGAGACGGGGCCTTAACCATGGCAGCACCCCAGCTTTGGAATGCCCTCTGCCCTCTGCTCAGGAGTGACTAGTTGCTGCTGCGATCAGCCTTGCTGATGACTGTTTGATTGGTTTTACTATATGTTTGACAGTAATTTATTGCTGTTTTATTGTTTTTGCTTTAATATTGATGTACAGATCAATAGATATAACTTTCATTGGTGAAATCGTGCAATCACTGACACATAACCAGGCCTGAGAAAAGCCCTCTTTTCTAGAAAACAGCATGTGTGCATCCTTGAAATGCAGCTGACACTGACCAGGCACCAGACCAGAGCAAACTCGTTGGCACTTGACAGATAACAGCAGCTCAAACCAGCCCAGCCCACCCTCCTCCTCTTTTATATAATAGCACCCCATCCTCTCCCCTCCTTTGGAGCATCTTATTTGGTATGAAAGTAGAAAGATCACGCCATTGTAACTTTTTACTTTCGTAATCCATTGGAAAGTGTTAAGTGTGTTATGTGCAACCCTTTGATGATCAATGTATAAAAGGGCCACCTGAGAACTGCCCAGATGCGCCATCTGGAACGATTCATTGGTAGCTAGTTATTTTCGAGAATAAATCCTTCAAAAGAAAGAATACCTTTTTCTGCTGTGTATTTTGGGCGTATGCACACCAGGACATGGACCATTTGGGCCAAAATTTGGTTGCTACCCATCCCAGGATTTTAATGAAGGCCCATAGATAGATAGATAGATAGATAGATAGATAGATAGATAGATAGATAGATAGGGGTGTGCTTCGGGTATATTGAAGGGGACTCAAATGTGGGCATTTACCACCTATCCTCAAACTGTGGGGTGGGCGGAGGACACAATATGAGCCTTGCAGCTGGTGTAGTGAATTTCCCTCCCACAGGAACAAATGGGAGTCTGGAGCGGGACAGACCGATAAGCAAGTGAAATGGCAATTGAAAGGGAAAAAAGATGCCTGCTTCTGACCTGGCTGGGCTTGGAAGACAGTTCCTCCAACACAGAGGTCCTCTGTCTAGCCTCCATGCACTTGCTCTGTCCAAAATGCAGGACTAGTCCCAAACTATTGCTAGCACGTCTTCGGCCAAACTGCTCCTCATCTTTTCTCCCTTCTTCAAAAGAGGAACATTATACAAATGAAGTAGGAAAATCAGGAAAATGCACACCAGTTTACAGCCTTAGCCAAAAAAGCAGGAACAACATGTATGGATAATATAAAAGGGTGGCTGTTTTCAGAAGAACACCTCACAAGCATAGACAAGGAAACCATGCTAGGAGGTTGCCACATGCTGCAATCCCAGCATTTCATAAGCTACAGCAACAGCCTATCAAAAAGAAGGATCTTGGCAGACCTTGCCCAGATGTGACTAACCAGCAACATCAGAAGGCTTGTTTCTTAGGTACATTAAATGGTAGGGCACAGCATATGTAGAGGACCTGATAGCCTAAGTGCAAGATGCGCGCAAGATGCTCAGCAACAATAGGGAAAAATCTGTACAGAAGATCTCATTTGATGTATTCACATCAACTTAATGTAACTATCTAGGTCCTCAGGCACAGACATCTAACCCCATTAAGCACCCACGGCCCACCACTCTGCATTATTATACACTAGTATAAAAGCTCCTGGAATCACTTAAGTCAACCCAGATTTATTTATTAGCCATCTTTCAGACTATTACCATGCAATGCTGACTTCAACCAAGAAAAACTGCCTCATACATTTTAAAGATATTTACATCTCATTTTTCTGCAGGACAACCAAAAGAGCATTTATTAGAAACATCAAGAACAGCAGTGAAACATGAGGGCTCCTGTAAGTTAGTAATTTTGTGATTTACAGTGCAATCTTATACAGTGATCGACTGAGTGACTTGTAGCCCACCTTTCTATCAAGAACTGGCACTAAAGGCAGCTTACTGGCATAATTCAAACTGATTAAAACAATAAAATGCATTAAAATGCCATAAAACATAATATTTACAGAACAATAAAATGCATGCTTTTTAGTTGGATGTAAATCTTATTGAATTGAGTAGGGTGAGTAAACATTCTCCTCTCAAAGAAACCTGGATTCCTCTGAATGCAAGTACTGAAAAGAACACTGAAGCAACAAAGACACCGCAGGGAGCAAACTTTGAATAACCAAGGCAGCCAACACTTCTTTCAGTCTTAAACAACTGATGCCATTTATTTATTTATTTATCTATCTATCTATCGATTTATATCCTGCCTTTTTCCTACAAAGGGCTCAAGGCAGCTTACATCATTCTCCTCCTCCATGTAGTGGTGTAGTGGTTAAGAACATGGGACTGGGACTCAGACAATCTGGGTTCTAGTCCCTGCTCAGCCATGGAGCCAACTGGGTGACTTTGGGCCAGTCACAGACTCTCAGCCCAACCTACCTCACAGGGTTGTTGTTGTGGGGATCAGATGGAGGAGGAGAATGATGTAAGCTGCCTTGAGCCCTTTGTAGGAAAAAGGCAGGTTATAAATCGAAAAATAAATAAATAAAATACTATTGGATGACATTGTGTAGATGACCTACACGCAATGCGTGAATGAAAGGAAGCTGTTCCATGCACAAAATGCATAGGATCCAGGCACGTGTAAGGCATGTGCTGAGGGAAAACACCCTTTTCAGGTGAAGTTGGTTTCCTTCATACTCAGTTTCTCTGCTACGTGGAAGGCTAGAGACAGGCCTAAAATCTGAGCATCCCTGCTTCCCTGTCCTTCAAACAGCCTAGCAGTGGGCAGTATAGAGCCATTTACTCCATGGAAGCGCTTTCAGCAAGCACCCTTCTCTCCTCAAGGATTTTCCTCAATTTTCCCTCTCACTAGATTCCAGCTGGAGCATCTCAACTATCAATTCAAATTTTATCTTCTCTCACCTTGGAAGTATACACATTTGATTATGCTGAGCACGCACAGAAGAACATATGCTAATTTTTTTTATGTGGTCATTCATTTTAAATCTTGATGTAATTTTAATGGTATCATACTCCATCCCAAAGGCTCTGGAAGCCTTTCAACAACAGCCACGGCAATTAGTTTTCAGATCTACAGAGGTGCAGTTTCATTTAAGACACTAAAACAAAAGCAGTCAAAGAGATTCAATGGAATTACATGAAATATAAAATATAGGAGAAATATATGCAGAGATTCAATGGAATTCCAATTGGTTTTCAGAACATTACAGAGGTGCCGTTTCATTTAAGCACTAAAA